TCATCAAACAGTCATAACAGCTATATCCATCAGAAATCATAAAATGAGGTAAGAAAACCCTACAGTCATGAGCTTTGGGTCATGACCGAAAGAACGAGGTCCCGGATACAAGCGGCCGAAATGGGTTTCCTCCGCAGGGTGGCTGGACTCTCCCTTAGAGATAGGGTGAGAAGCTCGGTCATCTGGGAGGGACTCAGAGTAGAGCCGCTGCTCCTCCACGTCAAGAGGAGCCAGTTGAGGTGGTTCGGGCATCTGGTAAGGATGCCTCCTGGACGCCTCCCCGGTGAGGTATTCTGGGCACGTCCCACCGGGAGGAGGCCGCGAGGAAGACCCAGGACACGCTGGAGGGACTATGTCTCTCGGCTGGCCTGGGAACGCCTTGGGGTTCCTCCGGAGGAGCTGGAAGAAGTGGCTGGAGAGACGGAGGTCTGGGCCTCCCTTCTGAAGCTGCTGCCCCCGCGACCCGACTCCGGATAGGCAGAAGAAAATGGATGGATGGATGGATGGAGATAATTCAGAGGAGTTCTGAGATTGGTGAGTTTCACCACTCCAGGAGCTGCGAGCTGATGAGGCTCGCTTTCAGAACTATTTTTGTCCCAAGCCAATTTTGACGAGCTGCYGACTCGCATCTCCAACCAGGAGACCAACTACAGGCACTTGATTTCATCTAAAGAGCTCCTGTCCATCTGTCTCAGGTTAGTGGSCATCATTCAAGAAACTGTCCTGTCGGAAAATGTGTCACTACATCACACAGTGGAGTCTCTCTGRTTGGTTGAAGCTCCGTGTCGAGCTGCAAAAGTTCAGGTTTTCCAAATCTAGCGTTTGATGCACATTGAACACTCAAAACACTTYTAGACTCACTGCAGCACTTCGAAACACTCCTTGATGTGTGTCCACCATAGACTTTGCATGTAAATGCCTTTGGTGTGAATGCAGYATAAAACATAAAGGATAGTGGTCCTCCAGGACCARGACTGACTCCCCTGCTGWAGACAGTTCATCATTTTGACGTTCAGTAACTTTAAACAAATGATCCTCCTTCCCTCTTCCTCTTCTTTATCWTATAAGTAACATTTCACAGTCAGTTGCTGCAACTGAATTCAGCTGGAAAGGAGAATAAATCATCTTTTCATTGATTAGATTAGTTATAACACCCACATCGTATAAATTAGAGCTGGGACAAGTGTGTGCTCTGCTTAAACAAAAGATTCTAAAGAGAAAAATGTTTTGAAGAGAATACTGTGAAGAGAATCATGCAGAATAAGTAGAAAGTGTTAGTTTGTTTCAACTACAGCTGTTAACCAAACAACAGGAGGTTTGACAAGTTGAAACATGTAAAAACTAAAGATTTTTCTCAGTAGTTATTAGGAGTTAACATGAACTCACCTTCTCACTGTTCTTGTATTTGTCCCAACTCTTCAGCATCTTCAGCCATTTGGTGGTCCTCTCCACCTCCAGGTGTTTTTGCTGCAGAAAAATAGAACCGTTTAAAAGTTATTTTCTAAGMTTCTGCTCGCAGTGTTAAAAACAGTCAAATTTAATGATGTAACTTGTATAATACTGGGTTTAACAATTTTGATCTGATTTATTATTGAAGTTATTTGTTGAAGATGAGAACTGATTTGAGCAGACTAGTCCTTTAAACAAATACTATTAAATTAAAGGAAGAAAACAGAAACTTGAGACTTGTTTCTACCTGAAGAGTTACGATACTWGTTTTGATCTGGAACTTTATTTTAACAACCTAACTTGATGCTCTGTGGAGGATTTTGTTCTCTTCTTTCATTAGGAGTTTATTAAATATTTAGGGCCTGTTTTTATTTCTGTAATAAAGCCCAGTTTTTCTAATCTGCACATTTTTTTTTAACTCAGGAGAAATAAAACTGGGTGGGTTTTCCACTTTTATTTCCTTGCTTTTACAGCCATGTTCCCGTCAGGAGAAGCCTGGAAAAGTTGTCTCATTTCAAAAATAGAACTTCACCAGTTTATACTGAAAGTCATCTTTGTGATTTAATTCCTCATAATGTATACATTTTCAGGTAATCACTTGAAAAGAAATATGTCATTTAGTTTGTTTCCTCCCATGAGAAGCTGCAGTTGTCTGAAGTTTGCTTGTGAAACTGAAATATGCTGCTAAATTAAATAAAAAGACTAAATCAGACCAGAAGTCACCCACCTTCTCCTCCAGCAAGTCGTAGGATGGAAGTTCATCCTCACTGTGGAGGACAGAGAGCAGCAGATTGTTTTATCATCAAACTTGAGTCAAATCTTTTAGTTCAAACTTTTTCCTTTCAGAACAACAGACTGATCCTGTGAGCTCTTATCACAGGAAGGGAACGTCACACAAACAGGAAATAACAGATTGGACCCTCTGTAATCTCCACTCTGTTAATCTGTGATCTCTGTAGTTATTGACTGAAGCYTTTTCATCTGAAACATTCTGCTGTCAGCTCCTGGTCGTGAACGGAGCACACTACCTGACATTCAGCAGAACAAAGTGTAAACATACAGGAAGTTACAATGTTCTATTAGTTTTAAAGAAACTTTCTGCTCAGGAAGAATCATCATTCCTAAAAAGCACAACCATCAAAATGATTCATCTGTTTGACTACAAGACAAAGATTGAGAGGATCCACTTCTCTCCAGTACGCTTTTGGCACATTTGAATATTTTATACATCAAAACATTCAGCTTCTTCAAGAAATTCCAGCTATGAATTTTAGCTTTTCAGCTATTTATACTTTGGTTTTTTCTGCCATTTTTTTCTCATGGGAAATAAACTTCAACATCATTTAAACACCTGTTTCTCTGGTTCTGCTTTATCTTCATTGTGCTAATTTCAGCTTTCTTTGTGTCCTGATGCATCTCAGTAATCCAGGTAAAAAAGCTTTCTTTACTTTCATTTTTGCTACTTTTAGCTTTTTCAGCCAGTTTTCTGCTCCTAAATCCTTTAATCTTCTTTTTTTTGTGCTCCTTTTAGTTGATTCAAGCTTTTCATGCTTATTTCAGCTACCTTCTGCACATTTCATAATTTTTCTGCCTTCTTAGCAACTTTAGCTATTTTCAGCTAATTTGAGCTTTTTTCAGCTAAATTCATTTGTTTGTGATAATTTCAGCTCTTTTACTGCTTAATTCAGCAAACATGCTTTTTCTGCTTGTTTGTAGTAATTTCAGCTTTTTCAGTTAATTTTTAGCTGATCTTTCAGCATTAAGCTCTCACTGCGTTTTGTTTGAAAATGCAAATTCTCTAGTTYTGTTTTYAAACACAAAACTCTAGTCCACGTTTCAGTGGATTGGACCACATTTGACAAAYTTAACCTAASTTTTTTTWAAMMWYTKGGSMRRAAA